AACTTCTCCATTTGCTGGTTCAAATTAGTTAGCATCCAAAAACAGAACCAGTTTAGCAACAATGCAGTGTTGCCAGTGACCTTCGGGGGAGCTAAACCTGGACGTTACAGATCCAGCTGCCCTAGTGGATTAAAGTTACACAGAGTTGAATAGATAAAATTGCCTCGGAAAAAGACGTGTTCCCAGACTGGGTGAGTTATCCTGTAGGTCTTATTGGAAACAATCTTACTTCCTCGGGTTCTTGAGAAAGGACTCAGACAGCAGACAGGAAGGAAAGACCTGCAGCAGGCTGTTCTTTCCTTTAATTGAAGCTCCCTATATAAACAGGAACTGTGACAGATCTTTGTTCGCTGAAATCCTATGAACCTCTGCAGGGTTAGATATTTGATGGAAACTATTCAGAATGAAACAAACCGAGACAAAACAAACAGAGAAATTGATGGAAGCTTAACATCCAGGAACTGTAATAACATTATTTTCATTTTTTCAGGGTTTTTTAACTGTTGAGACAGTTGAACTGTCACCAATTTTGTGTTTAAAAAACCCTCAAAAGATTTTATCACTGCAGCCCACACCTCCAAAATATTGGTAGTGTTCCCATTACTTCCTCTACATTTTACAGCCTTTATGTCTTTTGAGGATCTACTTCTTATTCTGATAATTCCATATGTCCCTAACGGAGCACTTCACTCTCAATCTGCAGGTTTAATAGTGGTTCCTAGAAATTTCTTAAAGTAGAATGGGAGGCAGATTAGTTGGTTATCAGGCTCCTCTCCTGTGGAACCAACTACCAGTTTTAGTCCATTGTCTACTTTTAAGGTTAGGCTTAACACTTTTCTTTTTTGACAAAGCTTATAATTAGAGTAGCTCAGGTTATCCTGTGCTATCTCTATAGTTATGCTGCTATAGGCTTAGACTGCTGGAGGACATAGGGACTACTTTTCATCATTCTGCTTCATTTTATCACTATTCTCCCATTCTGCAGTATTTGATAGTTCAATTTCTAACGTTATGCTCGCTCTGCTTTTTCTCAACATAGTTGCTTAATCTTTTCTCTTCCTGTTTTGATGTGACTATATCATGTAGAGAAATATCAGGTGTGCTGTTACCATCAACACCTTTGTTTATAGATGTTGGGTTTGCCCTGTTTTTCAGTATAGTCCTCTTTTTATGACTGACTAACTGTATGGTTCGCCCTCTTTCATTCCCTGACATGGGAGCTGGCTTGAAACATGTCTGCCTGGCTTTGTGTATCCTGGATGGGGTAGCCTTCGGAGCTGATTGACGGTTACCTTTTTTTATATCTGCTTCGCTTTCTATGTCTGCCTCTGTCTCCTTGAACTCAGTGTGCCTCAGCAGATGGCGCTCACACTGGGCCTGGTTCTGCTGGAGGTTTCTTTATGTTAAAAGAGAGCTTTTCCTCTCCACTGTCGCTAAAAGCATGCTAAGTGTGAGGGATTGCTTCGGAGTTAATTAGTCGATGCAATCAGTTGGTTTTCCTTAGATAGAAAACATTGGACCAATCTGACTGCATGGTCTGGTTGAATTGTCTCT